GGAATTGAATTTCTCCTCAGGAGCCATTCTGTGAATTGTTTTTATTTTTTGTATCAGGGATTGAACTCAGGGATGCCTAACTACTGAGCCACATCCCAGCCCTTATTTTTTATTTTGAAACAGGGTCTCATTAAGTTGCTAGGTTCTCAATAAGTTGCTGAGGCTGACTTTGAACTTGTGATCCTCCTGCCTCAGCCTCCCAAGCTGCTGGGATTACAGGCATGCACCACCACACCCAGCTGCAAATGTTTTTTCATTGTGGGGCTTTGGGATGTGAAAGATTGCTTAATTGCTCAATTCTAACCCATAAAAAATGCAGTAAAATAATATTTTTAAATTGTTACTTTTCTCTGATTATGCCAAAACAATTTTTTTTTTTTTGGTAAGGTACTAGAGATTCAACCCATTAGCACTTTATCACTGAGTAGATTCCCAGCCCTTTTTATTTTTCATTTTGAAACAGGGTCTCACTAAGTTGTTGAGGGTGTCACTAAATTGCTGAGGCTGGCTTTGAATTTGCAATCTTCTTGCCTCAGCTTCCCAAATTGCTGGGATCACAGGTGTGCACCCCATTGTGCCCCCCATTAAAATATGATTTTTTAAACAAAAAGAAAAGTTCACATTTAGTAAACAAAGCCACTGAGCTCACCTTTAAAAAGAGACCAGTTTGGGGATCAAGTAATGTTTCCTTGGCCAGGCACCATGATACATACCCACAATCACAGCTGAGGTAGGAAGACCGAAAGTTCAAGGCCAGTCTCAGTAACTAAATGAGAACCTCAGCAATTTAGTGAGAATGTATCTCAAAATAAAAAAATGAAAAGGGTGAGGATGCAGCTCAGTGGTAAAACACCTCTACAACCAAGAAAAGAAAAAAAAAAGAAAAAGAGAAGAAAAAACAATCTCTTGAAAAAGACATTTGTATTGGACTATGAAAGTTGAATGGGAATTATCCAGTGGGAAGAGGATATCAGGAAGTGGGAAAAGCACATGGGAGTACTCTGAAGTGAGAAAGAGCCCAGCACATTGAAAGTCTCTGTGGAGGCCATATAATATATTTGGGGTTTATCTTGAGCGATGGGAAACCTTAAGTGTTTTAAGTAGAGAAGCAATATAATTGCATTTGTGATTTTAAAAGATAGCTTTAGTTGTAAGATAGAGAAAGGACCAGGGTGGGGATGAGATTAAAGGTGCTCCTCAACTTACAATGAGTATTCCTATAAATCCATTGTAAGCTGAAAGCATCTAAGTCCAAAATGTATTTAATACAGTAACTTTCTGTGCACTGTAGCTTAGCAACACAGCATCCTGTAGGTACCAGTTGTTTACTCTGATGATCATTTTGGCTGACTGGAAGCTATGGCTCATGAGTGATACTCAACATGGTGAGAGAGTACCTTACATTACTGACCTGGTAAAACATGCAAATGTGTGGTTTCTATTGAATGTACATTGCTTTCACAACATTGTGAAGTTGAAAAATCATAAATTGTAAGTTAGGGACAGTCTGTATTTAAAGAGGCTGTTGGATTAAATTTGGTAGAATGATGGACTGAGGAGTGAGATTTGAGAAAAAATGGAAGAGGAAAATAGTCAGGACCCGGTAATAGATTGGATATACATGACATGTCAAACTTCATCTTTGTTTACATATGTCACATGATGTAAACAGATATTTTTATACATTTCTAGGTTTGCTTTTTAGGTTTGTTTTCAATTTACATTTTAAACTCTTACTTGATTAAACTTCAACTGGATGGAGACTCATGATAGCAAATATCAGAAAATATTTTTAAATTATTTGTGGTGACATATGGCCCTATAATTCTGGATTTTATAACAAAGCTGTTTGACTTCTGTCCCATTCATTTGGATAATACTATACTACTTAGGAAACTGGAATGTTTTTAAATTGTGACAGTCTTCAGCCTGTTTCCCTATTAGAGGCAGAGAAAAATAAAATGTCTTTAGCTTGAGAGAAACAAAAATAAGGCAATTATTTTTGGTAAAAAGTGCAAGTTCTTCACTTTTTCTATGAATGAAATTAGTTTTCTTAGGTAAGAACAATAGTTTAATTTTCTATGATTAAGTTAATTTCAGGTGTTCTTTTTTCAGACTTAGAGCTGGACATAGCAAATGAGGGACAGATAATGTGCAGATAATGCCGGTGGTTCTTCCCAGATGTGAAGGCAGGATTTGTCTTCCTGTGCTGGCTTTTATGTCAATGTAATAAAAGCTATCTTCCCTGTGTACTAGAATCTTTGGGTTTTTAAACAGCTAGATTTTTATGTACTTCCCTTTACTGCCTCCATAAAGAGCAAAGAAAAGAGCAGAATGCAGAGATATGGAGCAATGCAAAATGTGTCTTCATGCAGGAGAAGGAAGGCAAAATCAATGCAGCAGGCTGAGAAATCTGTCAAACCTGATAGAAATTCCTGTATTTGACCCAGTAATTCTTAGTTTCTTGGTTTCAAGAGAAACTAGAATGATGGGGTGTGATCCTACATACTCATTGAATTTTCCAAAATCTCTTGGATGCACATAAAAGACAAAGCCTTTGAGGACTTATTTGGTATGCATGTTCTTAAAATACTTCTGGCTTCTATCACAGAAGCCGTTGAAATACCTCCATTGTGTGCTGTTTCTGAACTTGCGAAGATGTTTTAAAAAGTGAACATTGTCAAAGAGAAAAATAAAAAAAAAAAACCCTGTCACTTGATAAAGGAATCATGCATTTTGACCAAGGCATGTTTATGATGATTAAAAAATATAAAGTATATAATTTAAGGGACTGATTGCATTAGGTGCCTGAAAAGTTACTCAAAAGGGAAAATGATCTCTGAAAATATTTAAATATATATTAGTTAGAAAATATACAGAATTTAAAATTCCAGGGACTGGGAGTGTATCTCAGTAGTAAAGCACATACTAAGCATGTTCGAGGCCCTAGATTCTATTTCCAGCAACAACAATGGTCTTGCTATAAGTATCTAAAATTCAATGTTTTAACTGTAAAATATGTATAACTTGAAAAAATATGAGAAGTTTCTGGTAAACTAAAAAATTAGAAACTAAAAATTTTTCCTTATTCAATTAATAATAGGAGAGAGAATTAAAAGTGAAACTATCTTAACGAGTGTTTATTTTATCAGAGAATTAAAAATGAAATTGACTTTTTAAAAATACTTATTTCTTTAGTTTTTAGGTGGATACAGTATCTTTATTTCACATTTATGTGGTGCTGAGAACCAAACCCAGCGCCTCACGCACGCTAGGTGAGCGTGCTACCACTTGAGCCACATTCCCAGGCCAAAAGTGAGATTATCTTAACGAGTGTTTATTTTATCCCCTGGGAAAGGAAACTGAATGCTAGCCCTTGGGCTATCATAGTGAGATGCAGGGCCTTCCAACATTTTATACAAAACAAGTAAACATTGGTTATATAACAGTCAGACAAAGTTTAATTTTAAGAAACATCTTCCCAGAGAAAGAAAAGAAGATATCACAAGAATGGTCGGTAACTATACACTAAGGCCTGGAGAAATGGAATTATGCTTTGCTTAACCTTGGGATCAGTACGGTGTGTTTGATGGAATCGGACTGATGGACTGGTATACATAAGCCAGAGTGGGAAGTGGCCCTTCAGAGCCAACACCAATGGAGTCCGTCATTCTCCAGAGCTGCCTTCCCAGCCCATGGCATTCCTGTCCAACCCTGTTGTCCAGCTTCCTTCCACACCAGTTTGTGCCAGAATCACAGCCTCCCTTCACCATGGGCTACCAGTCTCTTTACCAGGATCTTAATTGCCATTGGCTCTCTTAGGGACAATTGTCATAACTTCCGTTCTTGAGGTCTCCAATCCTCACAATCAGCCAATTTAAGTGACGGTGCCAAATTAAATGCCTCAGAATGCAGAGTGGTGGCTTAAATCATGCAGTCTCACCTTTTTTTTTTTTCAGTTTTGGTTATTATGTGATCTTAAATGAAAAAAAAATGTGTAAAATGTAAACTTAAAAGAGTTGTTCATATTATTGGAATTTTTATGATCTTGATTATCTCTATTAACATGATAATTAAAGTGGATTTTTTAACACATGATTCTGGGTCTTCATTTAAAACCAGGATGCTCTGTATATCTTATTGTTTGAACAGCTTGATCTCATTGCTTGAACATCATCTATTTAAAGCAATTCCAAATATTAAAGAATCTAATTAAGTGGTCTCCCACTCATTAAATACTCTAATTTTCATTTTTACTCTTTTGTGAGATTTTTAAATGATTAAAATGCAGAGACCATAGAAAATACTATGTTCTTAAAAGACAGTTATTAAAGAAGTTTTCTAATTGTGAAAAGAATGTTAAGATATTAATAGCTAACTGTAGCCCTCGGAATAGGAAATTTAAAAATTAAATGTACCTGCATTCCTAATATTATCTATAGCAACACCATGATCTTGATCTTTGACATTTACTTTGTAAAATCAAAATTCATATGTAAAAAATGTGCTGGTTTTAATCATTTTAGCCTCTGCCTACAAATAACACACTCATTTCAAGAAAGGGAAGATGATCTAAAGAATTTTAATTTATATCAGGAGTTTCTATGCTCCCTTATTTTCCCTATTTAAAGTTTTGTTTCCCCTAACAGAGTCTAATAGATTTTCTTCGAACAGAATTTCCCAGTCTTATAAGTATCACTGAGGAAAAAAATTAAAAAGTCTATTTAATAGAGTTCCTTACAAAGTAATATGCATATTTTTTTCCTATAACCAAAACCTGTGGAAATTGAAAAAAAAAAAGGATTATTTTAATTCATTCACACCTGAAATTTTCCCAGACTCTGCTTACCACCGCACCTAATTCTCGGTTCATTGTATGACAAATTAATTTCTAAAATCGTCATTTCTGTGTGCATTTGCTGTATAAGCTTTGTTGAATGCTCCAAAGATCATTTTTTGAACTCAGATGAATCGCAATCGTTTCTCCCTCATTTACTCAGTGCTGCTGCTGAAGCCGACGGTATCGATCCACTGATAAACATCCTGTCTAGCAAACGAGACGGAGCCATTGCCAACGCCGCCACCGTGTTAACCAACATGGCCATGCAGGAGCCCCTGCGCGCCAGCATCCAGGGCCGCGACATCATGCACGCCCTCCTGGGCCCGCTGCGCTCTGACAACCCGGTGGTGCAGAGCAAAGCCGCGCTCACGGTGGCTGCCACCGCGTGCGACGTGGAGGCTCGGACAGAGGTGAGACATTCATTCTGGTTTTCCTGCTCAGTACCTATTAGTGGATGCATTTGAAACATTTTCAAGTACGTGAGCCTTTCTGTGATTTAAGTCCTTTCATAACTGGAACACCACATTGAAAAAACAAGTTGGCATTTTGTGCAGTTTGGGGGTTGGTTGGTTTGTTTTTCTAAGCAGTGCTGAGCAATGAACGGAGGGCCTTGCACACTCTAGGCAGGCGCTCACAAGTTGGCATTTTTAAATAAAGAAGGTGAGTAAATCCTAGCAACCCAGCAATTCTGTTTCTATGTGAGATTCTCTCACCTCTGCATACCAGGAAGCATTGTTTATAATATCTAAACAACTGGAAACAAATCATTTGTCCCAGTGTTAAGAGAACGGATGAATAAATTATGGTGTATTCACAAAATTGACTCTCATGTAGGTCAAAATGAAATGAACCACAGCTTGACATCAGCAGGAATGAATTCCATCAACCTGATGCTGAGTAAAGACAAGTGGTAGAAAACAATACTTACGATTCCGATGCAGCATTCAGAAATTTGCAAAGCTAAGCTCTATGTTGTTTAGGCATCCAAATATATAAGTTAAAATGATAAAGATAAGCGAGGTAATAATTAATCCCAAATTCCAGAAAATGGTTGCTCTGGGGAGATTTAGGGAGTGGATGTGATTGGGAGACACACACAAGGGTTCAAGGTCATTGAAATGCACCATGGTAGACAAACAAGACTGCCTTTTATTAGGATTATTTAAATTACACATGTAGATTATATTCTGGTGTTTCTTTTGTACATCATAAACTTTAAACATAGAAGTTTTTTTTTAAGAATGATCATATAAAAATCTTGGTGCTTATGGTGATATTAGTATATCTTTACTAAAATTTGATATAAACTTACAAAGATCCTTTTTCTCTCAATTTTTGCCTTTTGAAATGTGTTACCATTGAACTCATTCAAACACTCAAGGACTTTGTTCCTTTTACCCAATAAAAATAAGGAAAGTTAACATTTACCGAGCACCTACTCTGTGCTAAGCATTCAAGCCTTAGTGAAATAGGCGTGTTTGCAATCCAATTTACAGATGAGGAAGAGAAGGCTTAGAGAAATAAGATATGCAAAGCAGAGTTAGAAAGTGACATGAGAGCACACCCAAGTCCAGAGCCCAAGTTTGATACTCATGCTATCCTACTCATTTTCCTTTTGTTTCTTAGATATGTATTCTCTCTCCTTCCCTTATTCCTGTTACTCATCCATTCAGGTATCCACCAGATATTTATTTGTCAAGTACTATGTGCCAGGCACTCTGCTAGGCACTGGGAACACAGTGATAAACTCAAGTGTTATGACCACATTTTCCTGCATGAGTTTGCAGAGCAGTCCGTCTAGTTCCTGGAAGATTGCAGAAGGCTCTTTATTGCTTTTGCTCCTCATACCTCCTCCAGACCAATCTTTCAAATATGTGATCTTCATCACACCATTGCAAGTCTCCCATGGCTTTCCACTGCCACATAGTAAGGGTTAAAGAGCTTAGTGTTACATTCGAGAGCCCTGGATGATCCTCACCTGCCTACCTATTCAGCCCAAATTCCAGCTCTTCCCAGGTAGAACTCTACACCCCAGAAATACCACACTATTTGTTGTTCTATCAGAATGTGCCATTCTCTCACTCACACCTCCTTGATTTCTCTGCATGGAAAGCTAGTCTCTCTGTCATCCATCTGATAGATTCCTCTTTCTCTTTTGAAAGGCAGCTCAGGGGCTGGGGATGTAATTATGTGGGAGAGTGATTGCCTAGCATGCATGAGGCCCTGGGTTGGATTCCCAGAACCACAAAAATAAATAAATAAATAAATAAACAAATACAGATCAACTATCTTGTCCTACATGAATCTTTTTTTTTTTTTTTTGTCTTCAAAGTTGAGTTCATCATCCTCTGTGCTTCCATTACACTCCACACGTCACTTCCTTTTTGTCCCTTTTGCACTTTATGGTTCTTGTGTGAAGGACTATAGGCTCTTTGAGGTTTTGAAGAAGGGAACTGAGGTTTTTCTTCCGTGTGTCTGGGTCATTGACATATACCTAGTACATACTGTAGACTAGTGAATGAGAGCATGCGTGAATGGAGGAATTAATAAATGAATTAGGTATTTACCAAGGGAACACATGGAGTTTGATAACTATCTTGTGTTTTTCCCAGAAACAAAGATATTCAGAAATTTGACTTGCTAAGCATAGGGAGCTAAAAGAACTTTTCTGAGCTGCCCAAGTTACGTTTGCTAATGTGAAAGTCTTGCCAGAGTCTGAGTTTGAGACAAGAATGACTGAAAGTGGAACATTGTCCACGAGGGCTCTCAACTTTGGATATTGTCTTTGGTACTAATATTTCATAGAATATTATTTTGGTCCTCCCGGCTCCAATAATACAGTATTGCATTTTATTTATTTTATTTATTTATTTTATTTATTTATTTGTGTGTGTGTGTGTGATACTGGATTGAACCCAGGGCCTTGTGCATGCAAGGCAAGTACTCTACCAACTGAGCTATATCCCCAGTCCCAGTATTACTTTTCAGACCTGAGACAAGAGCTCTGTCAGATCTTTTTTTTTTATTATTCCTGATTAGAACAATTTTACACATTAGTAATTTATTTAAAGTAATTAATGTAGCTGCTTCAAATTCTTTTCTTGTTCTTTTTCTTCTCTACTTCTTAAAGAAATAAAAGGACACTGTGCAGATAGCAATGGTGGGTCTTTTTCTAGAGAATTGCTTCAATATTGCTCTGGCCACACTGCTAGCTTGGTGACTGTGTCCAGTGATGTGGGTGCTGCTTGCCCACACTGATTGCTTCTAATCCAGCCTTGGGATTGTATTAGTTTCCTGTTGCTGCTATAACAAATTATCAACACTTAGTAGCTTAAAGCAATAAAAAGCTATTATCTTACACTTTGGGAGGTCGCAAATCCAAAAATGGGTCTTATAAGCCCAAGTCAAATTGTTAACAGGACTGTTTTCCTTCCGGAGACTTTAGGGGAAAGTCCATTTCCTTACCCTTTCCAGCTCCTCGAGTCACTTGCATTGTTTGGCTCATCTATTCCCCTCATCTATCTGCACAGCATATCACTGCAATCTCAGCTTCTATCACAGTTTTTACTGCTTTGGCACTCCTGTCTCCTCCTTGGAAGGATCCTGGTATTCATATTGGGGCCACTGGATAATCCAGGATAATCTCCATCTCAAATTCCTTAGTTTTATTCCATGTACCAAGGAATAAGCACACCATTGTGTGTGGGGGAGGGGGCGTTACTCAGACTACCATAGGACCGAGTGAAGATTCAGTGTTCAGGAGCAGAGTATCTCAGCACAGAGCATCTCTTGTGTAGGCAGTGAGAAGATAGACTCCTTCCCCACCCACCCTTACCACATGCCATCATGCTGAGTTCCCTCTGTGGGGGTCTCTTCTTATAAAAAATGGGCTCCTGTCTATAAAGGTTTATAATTGATTTTCCCCTAAATTTAAGAACTCTAAATAGAGACACATTTTTAGATCATAAAAACCTTTAACAGCTGAGCAC